CTCACAAAGATCTCACAAGATCTCACAAAACTTGTTCTAGTGTGTACAAAGAAAAGGAAGCTCAGTAACGGCCATCCGAGTGCTTTGTCAGACACTCATGAGGCACACTCCACAAAAAAATTTCGCCTAAAACCGACCGCAGGACTTTCCTTCCAACCTAATATGTTGTCAGTGCTGGAGGATACCAAGTCGCACGTCTCTTTGTCTGCGTTTTTTGTTGTACTTTGTTTTATCTATCTGACGGAAACAGTGCGAATAGATTCCTGAGTTCAGGCTCGTATTATACGGTGGGGCGTTCATCTTCTTTCTGTGAGCAAGTTGCCAATGTACATAGCATGAGGGGATGTATCCGTCCTCGAAAAAGCCGAATTTCATTATGAATTTTCATTTCAAATTCTGACCGAGATAGTTGTTTGATTCGCCCAGTCTCGGCATTACAGAAAGCCGGGAAATCACAGATCGTTCCGTTTCGCCCCCTCCCCAACTACCTTGGCCCTCAGGAATTATTCTGAGCGTTTTTTGTTCTCAATAATATTTCTAATGTTTGACGGGAAGATTATGCCCTCTAAGGGCTACGTTTTGGACTTCTGTTGCTGTGTCGTATTTTCAATCAGATTACTGTAGCAATCATTTTTACCTTAAATTTCTTTGGAAGATTATACAAGGACGATTTCTGTTGGTCTCTCTTTAGTTATAAAACTGGAGTTCACTCACATAGTGATTAATGAATGCATTCTTTCAATTCTTACATATGTACACGCACAAACATATAAATACTTATAGACATATAAATTAACAGAGCAAAATGTGACAAATAGGTACAAGAACACTGGATTCATAATTGAAAGCGCTGTGTGAATTTCGATGAGAAAACTTGCAAAATTAATTATCATTTATAAAAAACTAAACGATGTGCCTTTGATGACTCCTACTAATCAATGACTATCGGTGTCATCAAGTCGAATCGATCATTCGGCCTCTTCTTCTTCTTCGTATTCCTCCTCATCTTCTTCTTCTCCTTCTCCTTCTTCTTCATCTTCACCCTCTTCCTCCTCTTCACCTTCATCCTCTTCTTCATCTAACTCTTCATCTTTAGTTTCTTCTTCTGCCGCCGTATTGCCGCCTAGTCGTATCACAGCCGTTTCTTCCACCTAAATTTAGTGTTTAG